TGTAACATATTTAAACACAAGACATAATCGAATCCAAAGAAAAACAAGATGGAGCTGCTGTGCTTAGCCTACTGATAGCCTATTAATGTCCTAACTTCACATTAAACTTTTCTCATAATCTGCTTCATTTGATCACACCAGACTGTTTTAAAATCAAATGTGATGCAACCAAAGTTGAAAGAGGACTGCTCAGAGCATCCATGCTTTGAAAAGTGTTTCAATATTATCAAATATGTTCAGATGAGATCAGCTGCACAGACAGCAGCCGCGGGAAGCCTTGAATGTTACATTAGTCTCTAAGTACGCAATTCACTTCCCTGCCATCTTCCTTTTAACATTTATTTCACAATAATGAAAGCGATCGCTAACTGCAGCAGACTAAATACAGGATATGAAGTAAGATGACTAACTTCAATACATTTGTTAAACTCAAAGACCCAAGGTAATCTGAAACGATGCAGTAGAAAGGCTTTATTTGATGTGTTTCCACTCATTGTAAACAAACTTTTCTGCTATTCAGTAATTAGTATTTCATTTCCTGGAATGATGTACTTTCATTTCTTTGCTTTTCAGAAAGCTCTGTTCTGATCTATGTGATCTGAGTGTCCACAAGCCGCTGGTATAAAGAGCGGCAAGGTACCAGCAAATGTGAATAGGTCTGTTACTTGCAGACAGAAGTGCAGAAAAACATTAACCATTTACTGCAAAAGAAAAAATCTGTGCTAATTTACTTGTTTCTCATTTGTTCCACATTTGCTTGAGTTTGATTCATCTGTACAACTTGGTTGTCCTTGGAATTCGGTAGACTTGTATCCCTACTATGGCTGTAAATAGCTGCCAGTTTCTAAAATAAAATAAGCAAAGTTTCACAAACTAATCTCGAGAGAAGACAGTGATTTGATCAACTACAGCTAATCCTTGCTGCTAATCGTTTCTATCAGATCGTTCTAAAACTACTATACATGTCCTGCCTAAACTTCATTGACTACACCCCCCCTTCCCTTCTTCCTCCTCTTTCTATGATTGGGTGACGCAGCTCAGTGCCTAGTGCTACTGCCTCGCACCAGGAGGGCCAAAGGTTCAAGTTCTGATTGAGTCAATCGGCACTCCCTGCTCAGAGTTTGCATCTTCTCCCTGTGTTCGCGTGGGTTTTTCCCGGGTCCTCTGGTTTCCTCCCTCAGTCTAAAAGCATGCACATAAACAAATTGTAATACCAGTCACAAGCACTTAACACATATATAGTGAATCAATCAGAACCACCATATTAGCCAAAGCATAATCGGGGGCAGTCGAGAAAGACCTGATCTCATATACCCCCTAATGCTTATTGACCAGACGGGAACCTTGGGCTCATCTATATCCAAGCTCAGGGTTCTCTCCCAGGACAGCATGCCAAACCTGCTATTATAGTCGAGCATTATCTAAGTGTGAACTCTTGAAAATAAAATAAAATAATATAAAGGTGACGCGGTGGCGCAGTGGGTAGTATGATTGCCTCAAAGCAAGAGGGTCGCTGATTCGATCCTCAGCTTGGTTGATTCCGCTGTGGTGACCCCAGATTGCTAAAGGGACTAAGCCGAAAAGAAAATGAATAAATGGATGAATTCCCCAGTGATAGGTTGCAGCTGAAATGAATAAAATAAAATAAATGTGATAAATAAAATAAAATTAAACAAAATTAAATTAAATGAATAAAATTAAATAAAATAGGTAAAATTAAATTAATAAAATAAAACTAAATATAATGAATGAATAATAAATTAAATAAATTAAATGAATAAAATTAAATTAATAAAAATAATGTGATGAATAAAATTAAATAAAATTAAACAAAATAAATAAAAAAGATTAAAATTCATTTAATGTAATGAATAAAATAAAATAAGATTAATTAAAATGAATAAAATGAATAAAACAAAAAATGTGATGAATAAAATAAAATTAAACAAACTCGATTCAAGTTAATAAAAATTACATGAGTAAAATTAAAAATAAGTTAAATTAAATTTAGAAATTTAATTTCTTATAATCCAATGAATAAAATAAAATGTATTAAAATAAATAAATAATAAAATTAATATAATGCGATCAATAAAATAAATTAAACAAAATGAAAGTAAATTAATTACAAATAAATGAATAAAATAAAATAGGATTAAAAAAGATTATAAGATATTGTTTTATTAAGATTATTTTAATATATAAGATAAAATTAATAAAATAAATTAAATGTGATTTATAAAAACAAAATGAAACAAAATTAAATTAAATTTATTAAAATAAATTAAATAAAATTTTATAAAAATATGTTCAATTAAATTAATTAAATTAAATAAAATGAATGAATAATAAATAAAATAAAAAAGATTTATGAATAAAATAAATAAAATAAAATTTATATAATATAATGAATAACATTTTTATAAAATTAGACAAAATAAAAAATATTTAAAATTAAAAGAACAAAATAAAATGAAATATAATGTAATGAATAAAATAAGATTAAATAAAACGAATAAAATAAAATAATTGTGAAGAATAAAATAAAGTTAAACAAAATTAAATGAAATAACTTACTTAAATTAAAAGAATAAAATAAATTAAATGCGATAAATAAAAAATGTAAAATAAGATTAATTAAAATGAATAAAACTAAATTAAATATAATGAATTAAATTAAATTTAAGTAAATTGAATTTAATTTGATTTAATTTGGCGGAGTGATGGTGCAGTGGGTAGCGATGTCACCTCACAAGATGGTCGCTGGTTCAAATAAGCCAAAAACTTACTCTGAGAAAAAGACTTGTTAGAGTTTAACCTTCATTAGTTTGAAGATTAAGAAGAAATCAAATTTAAACACCTACAATTGTTTTTATTTAAAATTATTCTCCTCTTACTTTAATGTTGGGCAGCACAACAAGAAGGTTGCTGGTTCGAGTCTTGGCAATGAAAATAAATGAATATAGTTAAATTACAATAGATTTACATTTACAGGTAAATTTTTCTTTCGGGCTGCACAGTCCCTTTAAGCAGTTTCTTTTTGTGTGTGGTTGATGAAATTACATTAAAATTTTTTTTCTTTTTTTTTTTTTTACAAAAGCAGCTTAAAGGTTATGTGCTGATGAATATTGCATTCTCTTTCTGTGTGTGAAGTTTACATAAATAGGCTCACTCTCTTTACTGCATTTGTAACCTTGAAAGTAACCAAACCATATGGTGGTGTGTTCTGTGGACATGTCACACATTGCACATCAAATTATTCAGTAAGCTGAAGGATAAAAGATCAAGGATGAATGAATCTCTGGCCCCACAATATGGGTCAAAAGTGCTTGCCCTTGTTAAATACTGCTTTTGGATAATATATTGCACAATATTGGTCTGTCTTATGCAAAAGTATTTGTATAGTCTATTTTAGGTTATGTGTACTAAGTATATGCATAGTTAGTATAGTATGTATATAGTGCGGTAGTGTACATAGTGGAATGACAATGAATGCTTGATTAGACTCAATCATTATTTAAACTTATTTTAAAAATTAATAAACTGTGTCATTAATTTATTTATAAAAAAGAATTAATTTATTCATATATATATATATATATATATATATATATATATATATATATATATATATATATATATATATATATATATATATATATACATATATGTTCACAGTATGTCTGATAATATTATTGTTCTGGAGAATGTCTTATTTGTTTTATTTCAACTAGAATTAAAGCAGTTTTTATTTTTGTAAAAAACATTTTAGGGACAAAATTATAAGCCCCTTTAAGCTATTTTTTTTCCGATAGTCTAGAGAACAAACCAGCATTATACAATAACTTGCCTAATTACCCTAACCTGCCTAGTTAACCTAATTAATCTAGTTAAGATTAATGTCACTTTAAGCTGTATAGAAATGTCTTGAAATATCTAGTCAAATATTATTTACTGTCATCACGGCAAAGATAAAATAAATCAGTTATTAAAAATGAGTTATTAAAACTATTATGTTCAGAAATGTGTTAAAAAAAATTTCTCTCCGTTAAACAGAAATTGGGGAAAAAAATAAACAGGGGGTCTAATAATTCAAGGGGGCTAAAAATTCTGACTTCAACTGTATGTATGTATATCTGTTGCCACGACATAATGAACCGCCATTGTCCAGCACACATTCTACGCAGCAGATACCCTTCCAGCCACAACCCATCACTGGGAAACATTCATACACACCCATTCACACACACACACACACACACACACACACACACACACACACACACACACACACACACACACACACACACACACACACACACACTCTCATACAGCTTAACCAATTCACCTGCACCGCATCGTACGCATGTCTTTGGACTTGTGGGGGAAACAAGAGCACCCGAGGAAACCCATGTGAACATGGGGAGAACATGCAAACTCCACATAGAAACGTCAACTGACCCAGCCGAGGCTTGAACCAGCGACCATCTTGCTGTGAGGCCACAGCACTACCTGCTGCGCATATTATTATAATTATTAGTATTTGTATAAGTAGTAGTTTTATTATGATTATTATTAATAGATTGGTTTAAAAATAGATCTATAAGTTATAATACGGCAACAAATTAAAATTTTATAACAAAATCTATAGATTAAACAAATAACTAAATAAATAATTAAAAGAATAAATAAATAATAAACAACAAAAAGAGAAAAAAATTGATGGAGAAAATCAATAATGTCATATTAGATAATGTCATGTTATTAAGATTTACATTTAAACATTATTATATTTAAAATAACCTGTTTATGATTGATTACCTTGATTATTATGTGTCGTATATACAGTAACAGCAGTGATATTTAGCAGAGGGTCTTTTCAGGTTAAAATTAAAAAAATAAAAAATCAATGGTAACTTCTATCAAGGGCAAAAGTTCATCGATCCGCCTCTCCGCCTTCCCTCAAATCCCCTAGTCCTTCCCTTAAAGCCCCACACCGTCATTAAAAGAGCAAACATTAAAACACGAGCCCACAAAGCGACATCCTCCAGTCTCCGTAAGGACAGGACATAAAAACACCAGCTTGTGCTTTAAAACACACTGCAAAACCACAAACGCTGCACACTGCTGCCTATAAAAGCAGCACTCTCAACCTTCAATCGAGACAGTCGCTGCTCGATTGCTCTGGTCTGACGCAAACATGGCAGAATCGGAGAGTAACATTTCAGTTCCTCACTTGAAATCTCTTCTGCAAATGGATCCCTACCTCAAGCCCTTTGAAAAGGACTTCGAGAGGAGGTAAAATCCGCTTTTAACAGTTGTTTGTGTGTTGTCGGGGGAGTGTTTTGAACCGTTCCCGTCAAAACTCACAGTGACATGCGTCTGTCAGTCAGTCTGTCAGATCTGTGCAGATCTTCTGAGTTATTATTGGTATAATAATTCAGTGTGTTATGCAGTAATAAGCAGCTGCCCTCTGTGTAAAAACAGTAAGCGCACTATTCAGTATGCATGTTTGTTATGGCCACTGGTGCACTGTGTTGATGGCGATGACAGTTCACCACTCCACTTCTCTGCTATGAACCCGTTTCAAAAAGTCAAACCCACATAATAGACGCGAACAAATGCTTTAGACAGTCGAGGACAAGAATTGGCGTTTTAGTAGTGCGACTCCTGTATTGCTGTGCAATATTCATGAAGAGCAACATAAACAGGGACTAAAATATTTGTGTTAATTTATTATTTTATTAATAATATCATAACAACTGCAACATCAACATTATTATTTTTATTCATATTCATGTTGTTATTATTATTATTATTATTGTTTTTATTACATCTAACAATTATTATTATTTATATTTAACAATTATTTTATTGCATGCTATTTTATTAATGTTTTTAGTTGATGTAATTATTTACCTACCTGGAAAATTAATACATTTAATAATAAAAAAGCAGATTAGTAGTAGTAGTAGTAGTAGTAATAAATAAAGTAGATAAATAATGATGAAATCCATATTTATATAATACTATTGATAATAATTAATAATAATAATAATAATATCTTTGTTGTCATATTAATTATTATTACTATTTATTCTATATTTTTTATTATGTCTAACAATTATTTGTATTAAATGTTTTCTTTTTTACATGAATATTCTTAATTTTATTGCATGCTATTTATTTATGTTTTTAGCTGATGTATTTACTTATCTACCTGCGAAACAAAGACATTTCATAATCAAAAAGCAGGTCCAATGAATTCATAAAATATATTTTATTTTATTACTTTTTTAACAAAAGTAATTTGTTTTGTAGCATTATTATTATTATTATTATTAGTAGTAGTAGTAGTAGTATTTTTATTATTATTTATTCTATTATTCATTTAGTAGCAGTAAAACATATTACTAATAATTAAGGTACTTAATGTGGCAACAATTTTCAACAGTGGATCTAACTTAGAAATTTCAAATTTAAAACTTTCCTTATAATTAGTAATTTTGTTTTGATTTAATTGGTGTTACAGTGTTATAAGCTTTAAGACAGAACTTATAAATGACATTATTCATTTAAGATTTCATTTATTCCATTCTGTTTTGCTGAATATTGTTAAAAACAACCCTAATATTGTATTATCATGTATACAACACACAGTGAACATAAATATTTTCTCCAGTAAATATTATAACAAATAAATAACAAGTTTATAACAGTGTTTATATAAATTATACTATATACTGTACTACGCCTGTCTTATCTGCATCTAAGCTAACTTACCTGAACTGTCTCTATCAAATGTCCAGTCTGCATCATTTTCATGGTCAGTAAAACCAATACCATCCTCACTTTCATCTGCAGGAAGAGCCTGTTCTGTCCTTTTCTTGTTTCACTTACCATTGAACATGGTGGTGCTCGCTAATGCACTGTTCCCTGTATTTATATCTAATCAAAAGTAGTATTGCCATTTGCCATTTAAACTAGATTTTATCCTAATGCAAATGTCATTAACATACAAGTAATCAACATTAAATTACTAGCATTCTTGTTGTTATTGTTACAACTTCACAACAGTTCACAGTTGACCTTGCTAGCTAGCTAAGCCATTGCAATATTGCACATTCCACCAGTTTTTGCACTATTTGGTAACACATACATTTGATCGATTTATAAAAAACTATTTGATTAAAAAAACTTTTTTGTTTTGAATATGTCATCATGACTTACTAGAAACAATGTTTGAAATTTTTTTTGTAGATCTGACTTAAGTTGATCCTTTGTTTTTATTCATGTTTACATTTGCATTCAACAACTACTCACAATAAAAGACAGTCTATCAGAAATGGCGCTATAGAAAAACACTGTGTGTCATGTTACTTAACCAAAGCACATTATTGGCTACTCTAAGGTGTTCTCTTTACAACAAAAAATAAAATAAAAATAATGTTGGTCTTTAAGAGACAGTTGCAGGGAAATGAACACAAGTATCATGTTGCCATGTGGTGACACCCTGCAGTAGAGGGTTAATAATCTAAAAGCAGGTCCAATTAATTCTTTAAATATATATTTCATATTAAGACTATTTTAACAGTTTTTTGTAGCATTATTATTATTATTATTATTATTATTATTATTATTATTATTATTTTTATTATTATTAATATTAGTAGTAGTAGTAGTAGTAGTAATAGTATTAGTATTATTATAAGTAGCTGTAGTAAATAAACTAGATAAATGATGATATTCATATTCCATTCATATTATTATTGCTTGTTGTAGTGTTAATATTCTCTTCATTGTCATTATTTTTTATTATTATGTCTAATTTGTTTTATTATACGTTTTATTTTTGCATGAATGTTCTATATTTTATTGTATGCTATTTAAAAATAAATAAATAAAATAGATAAATAAAAAATGGTGGTAATTATATTGTTGTTGTTGTTGTTGTTGTTGTTGTTGTTGTTGTTATTATTATTATTATTATTATACATATTTATTCATTCATTCGTTCATTCATTTTCCTTTCAGCTTAGTCCCTTTATTAATCCGGGCTCACCACAGCGGAATGAACCACCAACTTATTCAGCCCGTTTTTATGCAGCGGATGCCCTTCTAGCCACAACTTCTAAGAATTATTATTATTATTATTGTTATTTTTATTATTATTATTATTATTATTATTATTATTATTAATAATACAGTCATTTATTTTGCATGGGAAATTCTATTATAACTTTCATATGCCTTTTTACCAAAACCAATACAGTACATATCAAATATTTTAATAAGTCTCTCTCTCTCTCTCTCTCTCTCTCTCTCTCTCTCTCTCTCTCTCTCTCTCTCTCTCTCTCTCTCTCTCTCTGATAAAGTGTTTCTTCCCTTTTGGGCCCCTTTTTCACCTTAGTGATTTATTTATTTCTTAAAAACACTCATAAATATTCATAAAGTCATCTTTTTACACAATTTATACACTCTCTGAAAATTTCCTTCCTAATTAAGATATTAAGGAGGACCCTATAAGAAGTGTTTATGCATTTAAGATATGCAAACTCTTTCTTTATTATAATAAAATTCATATTAATATAAATACAACTGTAATCATTTTCTATATGGTTGGTTTGAGTCAGTTTGTGGCTTATGGTCTGTAAACCCCTCCCTTGTGTAAGCCAATTTTGCTGATTGGTTAGCTGGCCAAGTCTGTTTGATTGGTCTTTCTCTTTCCATATCTTTTCAGTGTCAAAGGTGAACAGCTATTTTAGAATGTTTGTATTTTGCGGGCAGGTGGTGATTATGCAAATGCAATCACTTTCTCTGGCAAAACAAATAGTTTTTAAAATATAAGGACTTTTATAAAAGGATTTAGAGCTGACTCTTTCTTTTGAGAGACATTTTCCTTAATTATCATGCACTTTCTTATTAACAACTTTGCAGAGTACAGAGGACAGTACATTAGAAACAGCAAATCATTTTGTAAAACACACATGCCCTGCACTTCAATTCAGGATGTACCGCAGTCTATTTATATACTACAGTGTGAATAAGTGGGTTGAGCTAACCAGACAGTGATGTGTGGAAGCAAGCATTGATCTTCTTCTATGAAGTTTAGGTCCTGTTACATAATGAAAAACATTTTACAAACTGTCATACTGGCATATTTGCTTTAACATCAGCTGTTTTTAGACTAACTATATAGTCCTGAAATGTGCTGAATGCTTTATAGAACAATGATCTTGTATATGTCAGAGGAACAATGGAATTTCGATTTCTTATTTTATGACCCTCTTATGAACTTCTACTAGGGCTGGGTGATGCAGCAGAATAATTACCAGAATCAGACATTTTATGGTGTAAACGTGCACCAAACGTTTGATAATTAATTTATTTAGAGTGTGATGGCTGACAGGATGAAAAGTTTGACAGTTTAAATGAGAATCGATTGATTTTCCTTTTGATCAACAAGCAACATAGATTTAGTTCAAAGGACAGACAATTGTACTTTTTGTGTACTGTTTGCACACATGTGCCAAAGCAATTGCTTAAATTAAATTTGCTTTAATCAAAAAGAAATGCCAATCAGATGTGAACAACAAGCCAATTGTTCAGAGATCTTATTGTTGTGAAAAATAAAAATTTTCATGGAGATTTGAGCCAAAGCAATTGAGAAATACTGTGATATGTTATGCTATCAGATAACCTTTGTGCATTAGAGTTAGGCTATAGACCTTTTTCTTGGAACGCAAACCCATTATGCTTTGCGTGTATGCTCAAGGAGAATGTGAAGAACTTCCGGTCGGCAGCTGATAGTTAAATAGATAGTAAAATAGATTAAAACAATAGTTTTAATCTATTTTACCTGCTTTTATCCTCTTTGAACTAATACTGTTGTCCATCAGCACCATCTCCTGGACTGATCATTTAAAGAAATGCGATCTAATACGATGGAAAACAGCTGCTGTGAGGCGTTTTCCCCTCGTTGTCAAACGGCATCTTCTGCAGTTTAAATGAAGCCTTGTCATCGCTTAAGTCAACATTTTCTCTTTATTTCAAATATATAACCAGCCCAAACAAATGTAATTCACCAAAATGTTTGACACACACACGTAGCCTGTACTGTGCCACTGACACACGGATTTAATAACTGACAAAGTGAAAATATAGGCTAGTGTCATTTCGAAATGACAGAAAAACACAAACCGTGGTGAATACAACACGAAATAAAACACAAACGGCTTGCGATTAGAATGAACAGCAAATCAGCCAGCAGAGTATCAATAACAAACTTTTATTGGTCA